CATACATTGCAACTGGGAAAACCATAGCCTTGACTATACGCACTTTTGTTGGCAGGATGATGTCTCTGCTTTTTAATATGCTGTCTAAACAAGGCAAGCTGGACGGGGTCAGACAAGAGATAACAATACTGAACATCGACATCTTAGGAATCAGTGAACTAAAAAGGACAGGAATGGGTAAATTTAATTCAGATGACCATCAGGGCAAGAATACTGCAGGCAAGAATCCCTCAGAAGAAATGGAGTAGCGTTCATGGTCAATAAAAGAGTAGGAAAAGCAGTACTGGGATATAATCTCCAAAATGACAGAATGATCTCAGTTCGAATCCAGGGCAAACCATTCAACATCACAGTAGTCCAAATCTATGCTCCAACCACTGGTGTTGAAGAGGCTGAAGTTGACCAGTTCTATGAGGGCCTACAACACCTTCTAGAATTAACACCAAAAAATGATGTCCTTATCATCACGGATTGGAAAGCTAAAGTAGCAAGCCAAAAGATAACCAGAATAACAGGCAAGTTTGGCCTTGCAGTACAAAATGAAGCAGGGCACAGGCTGGTAGAATTTTGTCAAGAGAATACGATGGTCATAGCAAACACTCTTTTCCAACAACCCAAGAGACGACCCTACACATGGACATCACTAGACGGTCAACACAGAAATCAGACTGACTATGTGCTCTGCAGCCAAAGATGGAGAAGCTCTATCCAGGCAGTAAAAACTAGACCAGGAGCTGACTGTGGCTCAGATCATGAGCTTCTTGTTGCAAAATTTAGGCTTAAGTTGAAGAAAGGAGGGAAAAGCACTAGGCCACTCAGGAATGACCTAAATCATATCCCCGATGAATATACAGTAGAGGTGTCAAATAGATTTAAGGAATTAGATCTGATAGACAGAGTGCCTGAAGAAATATGGACGGAGGTTTGTAACATTGTACAAGAGATAGCAACTAAAAGAAAAAGAAATGCAAGAAAGCAAAATGGCTGTCTGAGGAAGGCAAGGGAGAAAGAGAAAGATATACCCAATTAAATGCAGAATTCCAGAGAATAGCTAGAAGAGATAAGAATGCCTTCTTAAATGAACAGTACAAAGAAATAGAATGAAACAATAGAATAGGGAGGACCAGAGATCTCTTCAAGAAAATTGGAGATATGAAGGGAACGTTTCCTGCAAAGGACCAAAATGGCAGGTACCTAACAGAGGCAGAAGAGATTAAGAAGAGGTGGCAAGATTATACAGAAGAACTATACAAGAAAGAGCTTAACATTCCTGATAACCACGATGGGGTGGTCACTGACCTCGAGCCAGACATCCTGGAATGTGAAGTCAAATGGGCCTTAGGAAGTCTGAGCAACAACAAAGCTATTGGGGGTGACAGTCCAGCTGAGCTATTCAAAATCTTAAAAGATGATGCAGTAAAAGTGCTACACTCAATATGCCAGCAAATTTGGAAAACTCAACAGTAGTCACAGGATTGGAAAAGGTCAGTTTACATTACGATCCCAAAGAAGGGCAATGCCAAAGAATGTTCAAACTACCACACCATTGCACTCATTTCACATGCTAGCAAAGTGATGCTCAAAATCCTACAAGCTAGGCTCCAGCAGTATGTGGACCGAGAACTACCAGAAGTACAGGCAGGATTTCAAAGAGGGAGAGGAACTAGAGATCAAATTGCCAACATATGCCAGATCATGGAGAAAGCTAGGGAGTTCCAGAAAAACATCTACTTCTGCTTCATTGACCATGCTAAAGCCTTTGATTGTGTGGAGCACAACAAATTGTGGCAAAAGTTCTTAAAGAGATGGGAGTACCTGACCATCTTATTTGTCTCTTGAGAAACCTATATGAGTGTCAAGAAGCAACAGTGAGAACTGGACATGGAACCACTGACTGGTTCAAAATTGAGCAAGGAGTTTGGCAAGGCTGTATACTGTTGCCTTGCCTATTTAACTTATATGCAGAGCACATCATGAGAAAGGTGAATCACCAGTTGGAATTAAGATTGCCGGGAGAAATATCAACAACCTCAGATATGCAGATGATACCACTCTCATGGCAGAAAGGGAAGAGGAACTAAAGAGCTTCTTGATGCAGGTGAAGGAGGAGAGTGCAAAAGTTGCCTTGAAACTCAACATTAAGAAAACTAAGATCATGGCATCTGGTCCTATCACTCCCTGGCAAATAGATGGGGAAGAAATGAAGGTAGTGACAGATTTTATTTTCCTGGGCTCCAAGATCACTGCAGATGGGGACTGTAGCCAAGAAATTAAAAGACGCTTGCTCCTGGGGTGAAAAGCTATGGCAAATCTCGACAGCATACAAAAAGCAGAGACAGCACCCTGCCAACAAAAGTGTGTATAGTCAAGGCTATGATTTTCCCAGTTGCAATGTATGGCTGTGAAAGTTGGACCATAAGGAAGGCTGGGTGCCAAAGAACTGAGGCCTTTGAATTGTGGTGCCTGCGAGTTCTTTGGACTGCAAGGTTATCAAACCGGTCAGTCCTAGAGGAGATCAACCCTGCTCTTTAGAAGGCCAGATAGTGAAGATGAAATTCAAATACTTTGGCCACCTAATGAGAAGGAAGGACTCCCTGGAGAAGAGCCTAATGCTGGGCACAATAGATGGCAAAAGAAGAAGGGGGCGGCAGAGGATGAGGTGGCTAGATGGAGTCACTGAAGCAGTTGGTGTGAGCTTAAGTGGACTCCGGGGGATGGTGGACAGGAAGGCCTGGAGGAATGTTGTCCATAGGGTCACGACGGGTTGGACATGACTTCGCAATTAACAACAACAACAACAACATTCCTAATCACTATGTATGGGCATGAAAGCTGGACCGGGCTGGAAGAAAATTGATGTGATTAAAAAATGGTGCTTTGTGAATATCCTGGGCTGACAGAAAGACAAACAAAGTGGGTCCTAGATCAAATCAAGCCATAATTTTCCCTAAAAGCAAAAGTGACAAGACCAACAAAACTGCGGCCATCATGCTTTGGGCATATCATGACAAGGCAAGGTTCCCTTGAAAAGACCATTGTGTTGGGACAACAATAGAGCAAAAGGAAGAGCAAGTACAAGATGCATGGACTTCATAAAGGAAGTACACACATTGAGCAGGGTTGTCATGGATAGTATATTTTGGAGGGCTTTCATTTGTGGGGTCACCTTAAGTTGTGAGATGACTTGATAGCACTTAATGACAACAATGGCAACAGCTGGAACTTATTGCTGCATCTCGTCTTGTCACCTTGATCCTTGATTGAAGGGAAACATCCCAGTCTTGGCACTCTCTGGCACTAATTCTGTATTGCCTTCTGCCTGCACAACAGCAGCCTGGGGCAAGCAGGCACTGAAGCTTGTGCATGCCTCTCAGTTTATATCTGTGATAATGGCCCAAAATCAGGATATGGCTTCTCTGTATGTGGAGAGCAAAAGAGCTGCCAACCACAGTCACTGAGTGTTTGTGCAGAGGAAAAGGTCATTTCAAAATTTAAACACTGGTTTGCCTTATCATTATCCTATGAAATAATAGATCCATTAGTATGGTCCTATATTAGTACAGCTGGTGCATCTCCAATTCCGCCCCCCACCCCATGTAGCTCCTGTACCAGTAACACGGTAAACTATAGGCCAATGGTAAATTCTGCATTATAGTTTAGAATCCCTCTCACAACTAAATAAACTAATAACTAATAACTAAAAACTAATATGAGAAGCCTGAGTTTCTCCTTGCCTACTCCTCTTAAGATTAAACTGATAGTCCTTGCATCAAAATAAATCTCAATTTATCTAGATCCTGAGTATCACAGAGCAGTGAAAATGTCAAAATGATCAAATGCTAAACGGAGGGACCAGTCAGAACATTCTGAAGTGGGAGTGGAATCTGAGTAGGTCTCTGTTTCTTAAAGGCTTAGTCCAGGGATTTGAAAAAGCTTGAAGAAATATCACAGAATCAGCACATATCACTGATTGCTTTTGTTTATACTCAGAAGAGGTCATTTCAGGCGCTGACCTAAATTATTCAAGTTTCCTTTTCCTTATGAGTTAAGTGTGGCTGCTTCCCAGCCCTTTCAGCTGGCAGCAAATCCTCTGCTGTCATGTATATATTTTGGTTTGGGAAGGAAAGAATGACTCTGACTTGGCATACAGTTACAACACACAAAATAACAAACATTTAAGGATGCAAGCAGAAGGGGCATAGTAAATTACATTCGACTGGCATGTGAGGATCCCAGAGGTATCTGAATAAGGTTTCTGCTAGCAATCACTTTGGAATCCTATTGGTTGAATACTTTGTTAAGGACGTTCATGGAAGGAAAGTTTTCCCCCTCTTTTTTTCCTGCAGTCACTTCTGCTCCCACCCACCAAAACCTCTGTAGGGTCAGAGATTCTCTTGTGTTCTTTGAGAAGGGTACAAGAGCAAAATACCCAAAATTATATAGCATAGGAAATGGGGCACTATCCTTTTGTGAACTTCCTTAAGTGGGTGCTAGCTTCTGGGCCACCAGAGCAGGGAGGACATACAAGCACTTCCGTTTGCCCCTGCCCTCACACATCCCCCCCCCACCGCCTTCTCACCTGACCCCCCTTTTCTGCTTTTCGGGGACAGCATCTTGGAAAAGACCTCACCCTCCTCTAGTTCTCTCTCTCACAAACACCTTCCTTCGAGTGAGAGAATTAAATGGCTACAGTGATTGAAATGTTGCTCTTGGCAATCCGGAAGCATAATGAAAACTAATAAAGTTCAAAGTAGAACTAAAGAGTCAGTGTGGAAAGAAACAAATCAAAGTGTTGAAGTGTCTTTTCACTGCAACCTCATATTCGTGACATTCCATAAGCCGTTCTCTAAAGTAAGAGCAGTAGTAATAAAAATAAAAACAGCACACGACCATACACTGGGATTTTGTTTACTTAGTCAAACTAATTCCTCATGTAATCCCACTGCAGCTTGTGGTTGAACATAGCCCAAGAGGAAAAATATTGATATGAGCTTACTTACCTATATCCTTTGTCAAGTGAAATACATTTGGAATCGTGTTTGCAAGGGTTTAGCTCAGGGACACACTGGTTGATCACCTCATCACATAGTTCCCCTAAAGCAGGAAACAAATTAAGAAGTGGTTCAATACAAATTTCCTGTGAGAACTTGGTTGATTTTGTGAACTCTCCCCAACATAAGGTTCAGGGATAAAGAACTATTTAAGAGGAAGAGATTAAGACTATCTGATGATACACAGACTAAACACAAGTGAACTCTCAAACTTGAAGCAGTTTAAGAAATGATCTTGTGGCACAGATTCATTTGTTTGTTACTTTATTCATTTATTTTATTATATTTATATCCTTTTATTTTTTTCCATAACTGTTGATGGTTTACACAGTTCTCTTCCTCTCAATCTTAGCCTCAACAATAGCCCTATGAGACAGATAGAGCTAAACGTTTGTGTGACTGGCTCAAAGTCACATAAAGTTGGTCCCATGGCTGAGTGGGGACTGGAACTCAGCTCTCCTGGGTCCAAGCCCTGCACCTCTTAATCGCTCTCATACTGGCTTTATTGTGGCTTAAGGTTTGGTGGGGAAGATGGCACTGTATCCAACAAAGTGGAATCTGGAAACAATAATCTGTTACTTTTTAAAGGGGCACAAGAGTCTTCTGTTTTTGTTGTAATGGACTATCACAGCATTCCCTCTAGAAAGTAGAACAATCCTCCAATAATGGTATCCATTTCCACTTAGCAAAACAAATTTTACTGCAAAATAGAGAAGAATGGCACATGCACTGGAGGTTATTTCACATCTCTTGCTTAGGTAGAACTCAGCTTTAGCTGGTGTTTAACCATCTGGAGAGTTTAATGGATCTGGCAGCTAAGAGAGCTAGCAAAATATTTATTAATATGTTAAGTGATGTTGCAGAGTGGGAGGGGACAGGTGCCTGAACAGTTTGAACTTAGAATTAACTTTCATTTAGAGCCAATGTATTATTTTCTTGTAATAACATTATAACTTGATTGAAAATCTTCAGAAATAGGCTTTTTAAATAATGCTAAACAGACTTAAGGCTGCATATAATTATTCAACCTCCACTAAAAGAGCACAAACCCTCCTGAACTCAAAGGAATAGGCTGTCTTCTCAATGAAATGGCCCTCCAGTGCAAGGAACAATTCAGCTGGTTTTAGTTATTACCTGTTCAATTCAAGGCTTAGTTTTGTATTTCTAACTTCTAATAGTGAACAGATCTACAATGTGCAAAGCCAGCTGTCTTCTGAGTATTATATATTTTGTTACACAGCAGTACCTCAGCCTTGAGATACTGCCCATGATAGACCAGGAACCCCATTCTTGTAAGTAATATCCAGATTATTAAACACTCATACCAAGCCTGACCCCAAAGTCTCCCAAGCTGTTTCAGCCACATTGTAAAATTCAGAGACAAGTGGTGTGTGTACAGAGTCCAACATGAATTTCATACACATCCCTGCCTATGTATATATTTTGCAACAAAACTTTCAAGAGCAAAAATGAAGCTGTAAAATATGCTGGCAGATCAGAGTCAATTTCACATTCTACTAAGTATTCATCTTAATGAAAAAACTCATTTAGGGATTACTGGCAAAAAAATCAAGCCATAGCATCCTGAAAAAATGCCATAAGCATTGAAATCACAAACCTGGGCTATGTATCAGTTGTAAATGCTACCCAGAGGAATTACACAAAGTCAGAACCACATGGATCTCTCCTACTAAAAATAATTTATGGCACTCACCTTGCTTGGATGTGGGGGCGGGGACAGTGTTAACTCAAGTCAGGTTCTGTGAGTATTTAAAAACTGTAGCATTCGGTATGGCTGCAATAAAACTCTGAACCAGTTTTTGTTCAGTTCATAGCTTACTGCTGGTTCCCTGAAGACAATCCAAAGTGCTAGGCCTATCATGTATCAACCTGGGATTGTCTTAGGAAAGAGGGAAACTAGGTAGTACTAGAACAGTTATAAATCCAGCTGACACCTGTTCCATTCTGTAGAAAAGGCAAAACCAGAGTTTTATTTTTTAAATTGCAACTGACTCAGGATGGTGCAGATTCTCTATAGTTGCTAATCTAACTAAAGCACCTAGTTAGGTTAGATACAACACTTGCAGTCATGGTAGTGGTGCTAGTACTAGTAGTAATACTGATAAATCTGCTGAGCAAGTGAAACAACAACAAATATAAAATTATGCTGGCGCTGCAGGTTGTCATCAGCTTTATTACCTTCATTCGTATGTCCCTTTCTCACAAAATTGCACATAATTGAGAGATAGCATATAACAGTATTACATACAAATACTAGTACAAATGTTTGCAGATAGGCAGCTCAAGCCACTTTCATATCATTACTGCAGAAGTGAATACTCTGCCCAAGTATCTTACAATAACAGTTCTCAAACTGTTCCAACAACCCTAAATCTGGAACAAAAGGTTTAACTAAGCCTGAATTATTCTTTTATTATTATTTTAGCACCAAAGAGTTGTTGAATATGTTTTCACATTTCATGGGTTGGCCAGACATATGAAACTTGTATCCTGAAAAGTCATCCTTGTCAAATAGTCAGAGGACTCAGATAAGGAGAATCATCACATTTCTCTTGTACCCAGCTCATCATCCAACTCCTCCCCACGCTTTTCCCCCCTGAAGATTGGTTCTGCTAAAGATTGGAGGCCTTCATGAAGTGGGCAGCAGTCCCATAGCATTAAATTAAAAAAAAAATGTAACATCCTTTTTACCTAGCAGGTAGTGTTCCTTTCCATGGGATTTAAGAGTTTTGGAGATCTTCAAAGTTTGTACATTTTTTCTGCTCTATGACCACAAAAGGTATTTCATGATATAAATTTTGGAATTTTTCTTATACTTGATACAGCTTATCTTCGTTATCACACAATCTCCTCTGTACTTAATAATTAATGATAAAGTGTATGAAGCTACATTCTTGATTCTGAGTACCTCCCCAACAAAATCACATTTCCTCATTTCACCTTTACTTTGGGAACAATGGGCAATAGGCAATATCCATGGCCACTGACCAAGCAAGGTTGAATATATTGCTCTTACTGTTCTCATTCTCTTCCAAATCTCGAAGCATCTTGGCACATCAGAAAGAGAACATCTGCATTCTACCCACCTTTTGAAATTGCCAAACTACCAACATGCTTTTAAATTAACAAAAACATCAGTGCATGTTTCTGGTGTAATTTTATTTTTCAAAGAGCAATCCTGTGGAAACTGCTTCAATACACCACTTGGGCTCTTGGGTGGGACTCTTATTAGTTCTAGCTTTGGAAATCATAGGAAGTGATATTTGAAAAGATACGAAGCCACAGTGACTGCAAAAGCAGCATCTGAACAGGAAAAGGAGATGAGACAGGTTGTGCTGCACAGGTTCCCAGTATACCTGCAGGAGGGCCAAAGAAGAGGAGAGCAACCAAAGGAGTGCCTAATAGTCCACTGGGCATACCATGGGTTATTCCATAAACATCCCACACTGCTTGTTTCATTGCAGCATAGCTTATCATGTTGGGCAAGCACAACCAGGATCTCAGTGCAAATGTTGAAAAGCAATGGAAACAGAGGACGTCCCTGTCTCACTCCGTATTGCATACTAATTGTGGATGGTAGATTGCCTTTCAATTTTTTATTGGTGCAAACATGAAGTTTCACTTATAAAAATACAATTAATGAGCAATTAATGATTTAGCTGCTAAGAGGAAATCAGGAACAGGAGCTGAATAATTAAGAGACAATTAAGGACTGCGTGGCCACAGAAAGTGAACAGGAAGCAACTATGTACCTACTTTAAAATAAAGTTATGGCAAGGAGGATGCTACTAATGGGATGGTAGTCCTGAAAAGCCTCAACAATACTTTGGAGCAACTGTCACTGGCTTGCTATCCATGTTTTTTTGTTTAAGCAGTACAAATGTATGTAAATTCACTCACTCATTCAATTTCAATAGTATAGGTTCATGCTGCAAATATGCTTTAAGAGGAAACAAGCAAACCCCTAAACTCTGGCATAAAGTACGTCTGAGGAAAGGTAGAACAGCAAAGCAGAAAATTCTGGAATGCCACGGGCTGGTAACATCAACAGCAGTACCAGAGGAAATGGAGAGCGATTATGTCCTCTCTAGAATTAATGGCTAGTGTGGAAATAGTTTAAGCTGTAAATGCTGCAGAGCGTACAGAGACCAGAATAAGTTGGATATGGCTTTTTTCCGTGTGGTAGATATTAGGTGATTCTTTACCAGTTTTGATTCATTAAAGGCATGTTCATCTGATGCAACCATACAAGGGTGCAACTGAGCATTCTCATTCCATTTTTTTTTTTTTAAATAATTGTCTTTATATCCCATTTCACCCCTCTTGCTTAGGAAAACAGAGCAGCATTGGAAGCTCCTTTCTCCCACACAGGGACCCTACACATTCACAGCAGTAGCAGCAAGCTGACTCTGCTAGTGCACTGCAGTGGAGCTATGCTGTCCTTTGCTGCAGCTACAGTTGTAAGTAGGAGATGACCGAAGGGCTCAGAGGGCACATCACACAATCTGCCTGCCATGGCAGTACTGGCATCTTCCAGAGGGCATTTGAGCCTGCAGCCCTCCCAGACCTAACACCCGCGACTTCACTTAAGAGGTCAGAATTTGGTTGCTACCAAATCTTTATGCTGTATATGGTTGTGTGCACAAATGCATTGTGGAAGGTGCTGAAATCTCCTTCTGGTTGTACTTCATCTCTAGATGTATTTCTCCCCAAAGCAATCAGTCTGGAGAGTCAGGAAAAATGGAGTAACAGGGGTAAGGCAGCTGCAGAAACATTTCATGACTGTAGGAAAGAAGAACCGAATGACAAAGAAGAGGATAAAGAGCTGCATTACACACACAAAAATTTTTTAGACATGGCTATTATGATCTAAATAGAAATACAGTGTATCTTGCCATAGTGTGGACGACTGAATAGTTGACCCGTGTGTCTGCCTGTTCATCACACTGTCCACAGTGTAACTGTTGATGGTGCACAGATCTGATGGATTTTTAAAAATCTTTAAGTATATTTTACAGGAGC